TCACCGCCTGTTTACCCTTCAATTCTGTTTCTTGTTTGGTCGGTCCGTTGTTACCTCGGCCTCGCTTCGGCGAGCCGTTTCCTTTCTCTTGCTTTATCTCTTTGTTTCCCGATGTATCTTCCTCGGCTCTGGCGTACTTCTCGATTCTCGCCATGAGTTCCTCCATGTTTTTCGGTAATGTTTTTGCCAAAGACTTCCGTAGTGGGCAGTCATCTTTCAGGCCGTTCTTGAAAGACACGATCGCCACTTCTTGGTTGCATTTGGGTATTCGATTGAACGCCTCGTAGTACCTCTTTGCGTAGGCCCTAAGGCCTTCTTCCTTGGTGATTCTTAAAGCCATCAGGGCGTCGACCCTCAAGGGCTGTAGTTTGTTTGTCACAACCTGGCCACAAACATCTCGGCCAGGCCTTCCCATGTCTTTACGCTTCCTTTTGGTAGTTTATGGAACCAATCGGATGCAATTTCCCCAAAGGATGAGGGGAATACTTTGCAGAGCAATGGCTCGTTCCCACTATATAATGCCATTGAGTTCAGGTATAGTCCAACATGAAAGTTGGGATCTGACTTACCATCATAAATTTAGAACCTCGGCATACTGAATCTTTTTGGCGCTTTAAATTTGTCTAGTTCCACCGAGAATGGTGTCCTCGGTTTAACTGGGGAAGTTACCTCGGCTTCAACATTCTGTTGCCTCCTCTTGAGGTAATCTCTCAAGTCTTCTTTACTCCTTCCTGGAGCTCGGCTATCTTTTGATTTTAATTTCTTCGGTGCGCTACTTTCGGCCTCGTGATGGGTTCGCTTTGATCTTTCTCCATGTGTTGTGTCAAAGCAAAGTGCCTGCCTTTGAACATGGCGATGTTCTTTGGGTTCTGGATCCTTCGTGTGATAGGTCCTTTGGGACTCTTCATGCCTCGACTCTTCTCGTCCGCCTTCCCTGGAAGGTCGGTGAGAGTGCATTCCGCTCCTGGTGTGCTGAGGGACTTCGGGGATTGTTGTTCTTCCTCCCCTTTGGGCATTGGTTGCTGGCATCGGTGTGTCCTGCAGCGGGTATGGTGGCTGCATGACATTATTTTGCATCATGAAGTTGACGACCGACTGTAGGTCCGCCAACTTGTTTGCCAAGTCTTTTACTCTATCATCCCTCCGTAGGCACCTATCCCTCCATACCTGAAGGTTATCTTCGTTATAGTACTGGCCTTGGTCTGTCTTTTTCGAAGTGTTGCCTTCTTGGCCAACGTCTTTCTCGACGTGGCCTTGGTCATGAATTTCTGCATTGTGGTTGTCTCCTTCAACATCAAGGTCAATTGGTCTGCCACTCCCAGCAGGAGTGTTGCCCCCAATGTTTTCCTTCTGTCCGTTACTGGCCATCTATTCTTCTAAGATTCCCACAAACGGCGCCAAATTGTGTGGGTGAAAATCTGACCACACTGCCCGCCTAGTAATCAGCTGGAGAGCACCGGCAGAATAGATGTCTTTAGCAAACCTGCAACAGAAAGAAAAGGCTCCGGCGGTGGCTCTTCCACCCGGGGACACTCCGACGATCAAGTCAGTATATCTCTCAAAGATAATCAAGTGCTAAAACTCACAAGTTTGAGTATAAAATTGTGTACCTTAGACCCACGGGGGTGCCTCTCTTTTATAGTTTACTCAATCCAAGTCCCACTAGAAGTCTGGCTTCTATGGACTCTAATTCAATGTCAACTTTGGACTCCTCAAGAGATAAAGATAAACTCCCTAGGAGTTTGATCCTTATCTTAGCAAAGTCTTTTCTTTACCCTAGGACTCTTGTCCCTTATCCGCTTATCTCGAATTCCAATATCTTCGGAGATAACCTCGGCATAACTACCACAACACGTGACACGTCGGCTGACACGTCGGCGTTACCATGCCACGTGTTGGTATTCAGAAAATACATCCCCACAAATTCCTATCCTTGTAGCTGCTGTTGAGCTATTTTAATGGATATTACTATTTTGATTAAAAAAAAAAGTACATTATAAAAATACTCATAAATTAGAAGGATAATAGGATAAATTTGAATACTTAGGGCGACCTCCCCCAAGGCTCATCCATGATCCCATATTCTCTGTTTCTTAGTATACGAGTTAATTTTTATTTGAGAGTGAGTTTAATTAGTATGAAAGAGATAGAAAGTGTGAGAAATAGTTATTTATTTCACTACTAAAGAAAGGGTCTTTTGAGTCGGTTTTTTGAGTTGGCAAATTTTACCGTCGCAAAAGGTAGCCTTTTTGAGACGGCACAGAGTTACCGACTCAAATACCAAACATTTAGTGTCGGCACCGTTGGCCGACACAAAAAATTAATATTTGATAGTATTATTTGAGTCGGTTGAATTTACCGACACAAAAGATAGACCTTTTGAGTCGGCATAGACCTTTTGCGTCGGTAAATTTGTGCCGACGCAAAAAATTAGACCTTTTGAGTCGGCATAGACCTTTTGCGTCGGCAAATTTGTGCCGACGCAAAAAATTAGACCTTTTGAGTCGGCATAGACCTTTTGCGTCGGCAAATTTGTGCCGACGCAAAAAATTAGACCTTTTGAGTCGGCATAGACCTTTTGCGTCGGCAAATTTGTGCCGACGCAAAAAATTAGACCTTTTGAGTCGGCATAGACCTTTTGCGTCGGCAAATTTGTGCCGACGCAAAAAATTAGACCTTTTTGTGTCGGCAACTGATGCCGTAGCAAAAAAAAAAATTTATAACCAAGATATTTCCGATATCTTCGGAGATAACCTCGGCCTTGTCAAGATCACCTTGGCGTTACGACCAGGACACGTGGCACCTCGGCTGACACGTCGGCGTCACCTTGCCACGTGTTGGTACTCAGAAAATATATCCCCACAGTTAGTATGAAAGAGATAGAAAGTGTGAGAAATAGTTATTTATTTTTTATTTTTTGGTACAATTCATATCAACATGATCGTGGTAATTTCAATTTCAATTTCTTACCTAAAAAAAAAAAAGAGAAAAAGAAAAAAAATGAAGAAGTTAGTTTTATCTCACTTCTTTATTTATTTATTTTTTTTAACTTTCACTTTTTCTTTATCATTTTTACTTTTCATCCTATTTTTCACTGTAATCAAATGGATTCATGTTTTAGAGTATGAGTTAAAACAATAGTTCTAACTATAATGAAATGTAAGGAAATGAGCCTCAACCAAAACATGAAGGTCTATATCAACAAAAATAGGAGAGTTATGTGAGTGACATTGTGATTTCGACATGTGTGCTCCATTAGAATTTCTCAGACCATGATAGGTGATTGATTCATTTTCAGTTGCATATATAATATATTGATTTGTTTATTTTTATTCTATTATACTTGTCAAGAAATTGATCTCAATAATCTGTAATTATAATAATTTTCGTAAAATGACAAACTGTAAAAAGAAAAGATACCTGATAGCTTGTAAAAAGCAAAGATATCTGACGGCCTGCAAAAACCTACAAAAGAAAAAGCAAAATTCTCATCAAACATCTCATGTGATATGATGTTCTAAGTAGAATGAAATATAAGGAAATGAGCCTCTACCAAAACATGAAGGCTTATTATCAATAAGAAATAAGAGTTATTTGAGTGACATTTGAGAGTTCCTCACATACCACAATAGGTGATTGATTCATTTACAACTACACATATATACTAATATGTTCATTTTCATTCTATTAAATTTTTTCCCATTGTGTGAGGCTGAATTGGGGGATAATCATCAAGACATCTATGTCTAATTTCTACATGTTGTAGAGCATTTTTTAGTTCAAACTCCAAAAGCCAAACATGAAATGAAACAAAACGAAACGAAGAGAAAGATGTGAGAGAAGCATTACTACACTAGCCAGTATTCAGCCTAGCCTTGCAACTTGCAAGAGGTGGTTTTGTGTTGTTCCATAATCTGAAAAAGAAAAAAAGAAAAGAAAAAGAAAGATACAATGACAAAGACATTGCAATTAAACCATGCAAATTAACACAAAAACACAATATAAAGCATGCTAAACAAGTAATGAATTAAGGGACTTGATTGCCAATGCCATGCATACTCATGCTTTTCTTTTAATCAAACACGTGGTGGGCATCCCAAAAAAGAAAAACAGAAGTAATGAATATGGAGTTACTGGCTTTTGTATACAGATAAGGAAGGAGAAGAACCAGGAAAAGGAGAAAATGAAGAAGAAGAGCCAAAACCAGAGAGAGAGAGAGCAAAAAAACAGAAGAGGAAAATGCTTTCATTGAGAGTCGAACTCAAGACCTCCCGCTTACTAAACGGGTGCTCTAACCAACTGAGCTATGAAAGCTTTTTCGTTAAAAAATCATGACTTTCATTATTTGATTAGTTCTGAAAATACATAGCCTTGTGATCCAAAAGCAAACAAATGACATCCTGCAGTTTGGACTGGAATGCAAAATCAATAGAAAACTAGGGTAAATTACACACACATCCTTTGGTGTTTGCTAAAAAAATATAATTACCATCACATTTTTTTAACATAATTACACTAGTATCTTTTGAAATTTTAATTGACATAACAATTAAGCCCTTTGTCATTAGTAATTTGTTAGTTGTATAAATCTTGTTATCCTCTTTTTTACACTAATATATATATATAGTTATCTTTGTTTATTTCAGTGTTTATCCATCATTTACATTAGTTTCAATTATTTTAATTTTATTAAAAAAAAAGATGAATATAATTATATCAAAAATGTAAAACTTTATACTTTTCTTAAGCCTCATAAGAGATGAGTGTAATTTATCCAAAATTTCAGTAACTCGTTTAGTAGGCAAGCTAATGGAATTAGTGAGATTTTATTATAAATGTAAGTAAAATATGAATAAAATATACTTACATTTCATATAATTTCACACACTCTATTCCTTTAATTTTTTAAATCCCTTAACAAATTTGTCAACCAACATAAATCAAAAAATTTATTTCCTAATTATTCCTTTCTGATTCCCTTTTCGGTCTCTCTTGTTGCCTGTCAACACCCTCCTACCACACAACGTCCACTCCTTCCCTTATTACAAAACATTCACCCAAACCCTATCTCTCTCTCTCTAAAACCCTAGTTCTCATTCTTGAAGAAGCCACACTGTTCACTTCCATCTCACCACTCTCCTTTTCCCCTGCATTTTTCTAGAAAAATCCTAGAATTTTTCCCAATTCGCTTCACAATCCACTGCCCAGAAGTTCTACAATCTTGGACAGCAGTCAGAAAGTTGGCAGCTCAAGGTTAGATCCCGAAATTCTCATACTCTGTCTTCAATTGTTTCAATTTTTAGGGTTTTAGTGAGTTGTACGTAATGGGAATTCAATGTAACTTTGTATTATTCTTTTTTTCTTTTTTTTTCCCTTTCAGGTTTTGGATTTACTTGTTTGGTCTGTTGTTGAATTGGGTTTTGTGGGTTTTTGTCGTTTTTATGATTCAATTTTGTTGAAGAAATGGCGGTTTTGTCAAAACCTGAGTCTGTTCAGATTAGGGAAGTTTGGAATGATAATGTTGAAGATGAGTTTGCTTTGATTCGTGATATTGTAGATGATTACCCGTATATAGCTATGGATACGGAGTTTCCGGGCACTGTTCTTGGCCCGATACCCAATTCCAAGAACTCTGTTGACTATTATCTTTGTGGCCTGAAGGCCAATGTTGATACTTTGAAGTTGATTCAGTTGGGTCTGACATTTTCGGACGACGAAGGGAATCTTCCCACTTGTGGGACTGATAAGTACTGTGTTTGGCAATTCAATTTTTGCGAATTCAATCTTGACGAGGATATCTTTGCTGATGATTCAATTGAGCTTTTACGCCAGAGTGGCATTGATTTTAAGAAGAACAATGAGAAGGGTATCGATGCTCGTTGGTTCAGTGAGCTCTTGATGTCTTCGGGGATTGTGCTGAATGATAATGTGCATTGGGTTACCTTTCACAGTGATTATGATTTTGGGTACTTGCTCAAGCTACTTACTGGCCAAAATCTTCCCGATACACAAAAGGAGTTCCTCAATTTGATCAGAATGTATTGCCCAACCCTCTACGATGTCAAGCATTTGACGAGGTTTTGCAACAATCTTCATGGTGGATTGAACAAGGTCGCTGAACAGTTGAAAGTTGAGAGAATCGGTATCAGTCATCAAGCTGGTTCGGATAGTTTGCTTACTTGTTGTACATTCATGAAGTTGAAAGAAAAATACTTTAATGGCTCACTTGAGAAATATGCTGGTGTGTTGTACGGTCTTGGAGTTGAGAATGGACATAATATGCACTGAAGGAAAAAGTATTAATTCATAGAAAATTTAAATAAGAATATATTTTTGGAGTACATTTGCGTGTATGATTCCTTTTGTTAGTGCTCTGACAATTTTCTTCTCATGTTTATTTTTCCTTTACTAGAATTGCTTATATTTCCAATTGAGTCATGCGACAAACCCAGAAATATATACCCAAAAGTTACCCAGAATTTACAATATGTGGTTGAGATTTATTATATATATGGACCCACTATACGCTCATTTAATCTCCAACGTTGATATGCTTTCTGGGTACCCATTTTCTGGGTTCCCAGACTTATCCTTTCCAATTTCAGTTAATGAACTGGAAGTGCAACCAGCCTATCTAAAGTGTGAGCCATGATCAGGTTTTAGTCTAACTCATGCTCTTCTTCTTGAACCCTTTGCCATATAAACTTTCACCCTAGTTGCTCCCCTTGGCTATTATTGTATGGCTCCATTTTGTAGAAATAAAATATCTTAAATTTTTGTTATTTACGTCACGAGAAACTGAAATGTTTCACTTGAGCAACCCGAAGACAAATTTTTTTTGCTGTCATGTTGAAATTTCTTTTAACAGTATAAACGCAGCACAAATAATTAGGGTAACAATTTTCGTTTTCAAAATTTTTATTTTTTATTTTCTATTTTCCCACCCAAATAACCACTAGGAGGGTGAATTGAAAGAACTTAGCGTCATGATTAGTCATTATCATTTAAAACAATGGTTAGTTAGTAAGGAATAAGTAAGTTGATGGAAGAATTTATATACATTTTTTTTGCAACTGTATATTTTTGCTATTGTATGTGGTTTCTTTTTTGGGTGCCTACAATATCAACCAATTTGATGTTTTGGAAGCGGATGCAGTTCAACTGTAATGACCATAGCTGAAATCTGATCATTTTTTGAAAATTGATCATCTCCATATCCACGTGACAAGGCCACTGAACTTTTTGCTGTTTTGGAAATGTGGACATCACGTGTTTGGTAATATGTCAATGTCAAAAGATGGGCTTTGGGTTTTTTGAGGTTCTTGTAAGGGAGATACATGATAGTTGACACCTTCTATTTGCCACTTTTGGTTTCCTTTCGGAAAACCTGTGTAACCAATAGTGCAAGATGGATGCAGGTTTGTTTATATCCTTTAGTAAACAAGCTTGATAAAAGTGCTGTATGAAGAGATGGCTTCTTTCTTTGATTTTGAGTGTGTCTCAAGGTATGCTGTGTCTGCTTAATACTTGATGTTATTTTTACTGTTTCCTGAGTTGCCCTTATGAAATTTTAGTTTGTTCTATCTCAGTCAGCAGGTGCTTGATGTTTTTTTTATTGTTTTTTTTATTTTGTTGTTTATAATTATGATATAGATTCTTAACTTTTTTCTTGATGATGAATCTTGCAAAAGAAAATTTTCAGGAATCATAGGGCATCTGATGACAGAAAACCTAGAGTTTTCTCTACTGAGGTGCTTATTCTAAAAAGGTGTTTAGTCAGTTTTACACTGTTTTTTATATAATGTTTTTTTAAAAAAAAAATTAAATGTGCTTGTGAGACTTGTACTGCCAGATTGGCTCTTTTTTTGTTTTCTTCTCCTTCATTTTGTGCAGGAGTTTCTTCTCACTAGCTCTAGGAGCCTAGGACATTTCTTTGGCATAGCGGTTGGGTCGTCCAGAAGTGGACTTCTGTGTCTCAAAAGTGGTTCTTTGTGTTTGGCATTATTGGTAGGTTGGGAATCAACTAAAAGTAGTAAGTTCTACCTGTTCCAAGTGTTTCTGCGTAGTGCTCTGAACTGCTTGTCAACATAACATTTTAAGTGTTCAAATGCAATTGCCCTAGTCTGATCAAAAAAAAATTGCAATTGCCCTAGTACAAGTTATACCTTTTCTAAAGTTAATTGGACGATTTTTCAATTCTTTACGCTGTCTGTAACTCTGAATATTGCTGGTTACCACTAGGGCATTACATTGATCTCATGTAGTAAAAAAATTTGTGATTTAATTGGCCAGTTACTGAGCAAGAGTGAGAGTGCCAACTTTTAGAATGCGTAACATTGAGAGTCTCCGAGTGTCTTTGTCATTTATATTTTCATCATATCTGTATTATTATGTTTTTTACTATTTAGGATAATATTAATTGTATTTCATAATATTGGTTGACCCATCCTAGGCTCAAAACAAAATACATGCACAACCTCAGCAAACTCCTCCATTGCCTACCGCCACTCTATTCCCTCTACATTTACCAAAACAATTGATGGTGTTTACCAAAATTTTCTTAACTCCCTTCCATTTCTGGTTGTGTTCTCCTACTCCTAACAAGATTTTTCCATCCAATTTTGGACTTTTTTTTCTTCAGTTACTTATATCAGCTTCAAAGTATCATTCTCAAATCCTTCTTCACATGGAATCCCAAGGAATTTGTTGAGTCATTTCACCCTCTCCATAACTCACCTTTGACACCTCAGCCCCATCCCCCAAATCTAAAGGCATACTGACTCGTTGCATACTACTCATTCTAATTTCCCAAGTAGCACAGACACGGATATGGACACTAGATACAATGATTCTAAAAACCTTTAGGACATGGTCACAATTGGGATACGGCAAATTTTTATTTTATATTTTATTTAATGTGTAAATATATGAATATAAATTTAGGATACATATATCTAAGAGGCATCAATGTATATGGGGGTGTATTTCTATTGTTACTTGTTGATGTATATATATGTCTGCTTTTATTTTTACTGATTCATAAGTTGCCCCTACGACCTTTAGTTTGTTCTATCTCAGTAGGTGCTCAATTTTTTGGGCAAATGACAGTAAGCCCCCCTTGAACTATGACCCATGTTTGAGTTGCCTCCCTAAAGTTTAAAACACAACACTTATCCCCCTCAATGTTTGTAACTTGCAGGAAGACTGGACGCCGTTTACGGTGAAGTTAAGTTTACTTTTTTTTTCCTTGTACGGTATGAATGATGTGATGGACAATATATCTACTAAAGATACAAAAATGCCATGAAAACGGCGGGTGCTTTCCCTCCAATTCTCTGGTATAAGAAGCAATGGTTTACCCTAATTTATTTTCATCAGAGACGATTAACCTTATTCTCTCTTGATTCCATGCAAGCAGATCTTGGCATTGCTTCTACATCTTCATTTTCTCAAAATTGCTGAAGCAAGTATTGATTACTAAAGCCTAAATTGTTGGAACTTTTTGTCTATGCTGGTGTAAATTTGTGTTTTAAAATATTTTCAGTATATAGAAGTGTTTTGCAAGCTTTTGATGGAAAAAGTGGTGGATTTACATATCCATGTGTGTCGGTCTGTGGCGGAAAGTGAAAAGTAGAGACTTGTGGATGGTTTGGTCAGTCAGTGTGGTCCCAAATGCATAAACCATGCTTTCAATGTAATACATGGTGAAAAACCATGTGTTTTTTGTATACAGACAAAATTGGTGAGTTCTTTAATGTTTGTTTTATTTACTATTTGTTATTATTGTTGAGTTGTTTAGAATTTGGTTTACCTTACCTTTGGTTATTGTTATGTGGTTACTGTATGAGACATGCCTTATTTGATTATTGTTTAGCGTTAATGATTTCTAAGTTTATATATTATGTACTTAGGATGGATGAGGCTCTCTGGGTGTTTGAGGTTCATCATCGGGGGGGACAATTTTTCCACATACCAAATGCTGATATCATTACAAATGTTGACTCTGATAAAATGTCCTACTTTGAGATGTTGGACATAATGAAAGAGTTGGGTTGTCCAGAAACATGTATATTGTTTCATAGGCTACCGGACTATGGTCTAGATGGAGGGTTGAGTTGAGGGAGCTGAAAGCAGATGGTGATATTCTTGATATGTTTGCAATGCGTAAGGGGAGGAGTACCATATCTATTTATGTGGAAAATCTTGACCATGAGCTGAAGCCAAATGATGACAATGATTATGATTACTTTGCTGAAGGTGATAAGGTGTTTGATAGTTTAGGTAACATTGTCAGTGATGAAATTTGTAATGAAGTCAGGTCAGTCGAGGTTGGGTATGGAAGTGGGGAGGGTACATCACATTCAGAGTTAAATGTGCCTGAGATTGATGAAATTAACCCTGATAATCTTAATAGCTCTATTCATTCTTCTGATGATGAGGACAGAGTAGAATTTCCTGAGTTCAATGAGAATACAGACATTGATAAACCAGATTATCAGTAGGGGACGATGTTCTCCTCTGCTACCGTTTTCTGAGCTGCTCTTAGGGAGCATGCAATCTTGAATGGACTAACTTCAAGTTCTTAAAGAATGAAAGTTACTGAGTCAATGTCATACGCAAAAATATTTGTGGTCAGAGAATTCATGCTTCTCAATTTCAGGGTTCTAATTTCCAAATTAAAAGTATTAGAAACCATCCATTTATGTCCAAGACAGTATAACATCAAGCATGCTAATTCTACGTCTATATCCATAAGTATCAGGAAGATGATCGAAACAGGAAGTTACGTGCAATGAGAAAGGATGTGAAGAGAGATTGGATGGTGAATGTGTCGCAGAGCAAAGTGTATGGGGCCAAGAAAAGGGCAATAGAAGCTATCGAAGGTAACCATAGACAACAATATTGGAGATTGTATAATTACCATGAGAATGATTAGGAGGCAACCATGAGAGTACAGCTCTGTTGAAGGTAGAAAGGACATGGGCTACCACAAGCCCTATTTTCTAATTACTTGCATTGGTTTCCCTGTATTTGTATAACTGCATTGATATGAGCTTGATCTTGAGCAATATTCTTATCACTTTATACATCTAAAAATGTTGGTGAGAAAGCAGAGGAAATAGCAATCTATAATGTTGCCAGTCAATACTTAAATGTTAGGGTTTATGTTGTGAGAGAGAATAGTAATGCTATAATGACTAAATTTAAATACTAAATAATGTGATGTCTTGTGTATTGGAACAAGTCATTGATGACGCATGCGATCCCCTTGGTTAATTTTGCTACCTTCTCACGAATCGATGTGGAAGTTGACACCTCTTTTCCTTTTGATAATGGATGAAGATGCACACAAGTTAATATGGAAGCATGGCTTTCTTTAGGTGGATGAAGATGCAAACTGGGTTTTGAGCTGTAAATTTATTTATGTTTTGTTTGGACCTTTTGGCTGCCCTACAACTCTAGGTTTCCTTTGTTCTCTTCTTTAGTTTTGTATGTTTTGTTATGGTTTTGTAAGATCTTATATGGTATTGGTATGATGAAACTCTTGTAATATCTCTTATATCAATGCAGGTCTCTTATTTGTCCAAAAGAAAAGGAAAAAAAAAACTTTTGGCATCCAAATTTGATCATCGTACTATATATTTTATCATCAGGATCAAACAGGGCTTTGCTTCTACCCATGCCAAAATCTGAGCCTGCCTTACTAAGGCTCCGTTTGGGAACTTGGCTGCTTTTTGATTTTTTTATGAGATGAAAAAAGTAAGTGTATTTGAGAATAGGTTATTAGTTGAATAGATCGTTGGGAAGAAAAAAGAAAAGTGATTGATTGGGTTAAAATTTTCAATTTTTGGCTTTTTTTTTGTCCAAAAAAATTCAATGAATTTACAAATCAACAAACCAACTACAATATCGAACACTGAAAAATTTCTGTCTTAACACAATTTCACAGAGGTTGGTGAATTTACAAAACATTAGATCTGTTGACAAACACATGCAAACACAACAGAGATTGAGAGAGATGTGGTGGTTCTGCATGCAACTGTGGTAGTATTCTTTTGAGAGAAATATAGAGAGAGAAAAAGAGTGGAGAAAATGGTGGTGGTGGTCGTAATCTAAGGTTGGCGTAGGGAGAGAGAATATGTTTTGAAAGAATAAACTGGTTTTATGGTTTTAGGGTTTAAGAATATTTTTGGTCATTTATATTAAAAATTTTCTTATCCTTCTAAAGTTTCAAATTTCAGGCGCAAATAAACTGTTACTATTCTAGAAATCTAACAATAACATGTAAAAGGGATGTGTCTCTAGTTTTTCCTAAAATGTATTTTGAAAAAGAATTTGGGTGAGTTTTCATAATTTTTTTCCCTCGAAAGATTTAAAAAACTAATTTAGTAAAAAAAAAAAAAAACAAAAAAACTCATTAACTTTTTGTCATTTTTTAGAGCAAAAATGATTTTTGATAATTCAAAAATATATTTTTTTGGTGTTTATTTTTGACAATCCAGCTTCTCATTTTTCAAAAAGTTTAATTTGGAAAACTCAACCAAAGAGTGCCGATTTTTAAAAATCATTTATGAACACTACTAAAAAAGTTACTTTTTGCGTCTAGTTTTTTGCGACCCACAATTTAGCCGTCGCAAAAAGAAAACATTTTTGGAAATGATCTGTGCCAAAAGGCATATTTTACCCCCATTTTTTATTCCCTTCACTGACCCCAATTTATTTTGTCCTTTTGTTACACTCACCTATGCCCTAAGCCCTTTCACTGTCATTTTCACGACATTGATAAACAGAGAGGTCTCTCGCACTCTCTGTCTCTCTCGCTCTCTTTGCTCGCCATGGTCGTAACTCTAGTGGTATGAATCTCTCTCTCTCTCTTTCTCTCTCTCTCTCTCTATCTCATTTCTCTCTCTATATATACATACATATTTGTATATTTATATATGTATATACATTGTGGATTGCAGGTAGAGTTCTTCATATGCTTGGTATTGACGATCTTAGGTTACATTCCTGGAATAGTTTACGCTCTCTATGCGATGCTCTGTGTCGATCGTGATATGACTCGCGCCGATTACCGTCCACTCGCCTAGTCTCTTTGTGTGTGTGTGTGTGTGGAAATCTGTGTGTGTTTAGCTGTAATCTCATGGTATTATACTCTAGCCCTATGTGTGAAATCAATTTGAATGAGTTTAAACTCTTGCTATTTGATTGAATCGCTTTGATTTAATTCTATTCTTTTCTTATTTATTTCTATTTCAAATATCTGTGTATAGATTTTGGAGTGAATTGAACTCATGATTGATCTAACTCTCTCTCAGCTACGAAGCTTTGGTTCGAATCAATCCTTTTGCTATATTTTCATATGTATATATATATGTGTGCGTGTGTTCATTCATTGCTGAGTAACTTTGATTTATACCGAGATTCACATATTTTTCTGATCTGCTTTTAATTTTCATCTATGTATCTTTACTGTAAGTTCGATAGTCATGATCGGTGATGGATTTCTGTGGTTCTACATGTATAGAAATTGGATTGGCGTGTGCTCTGTTTTAACTTAATCGAAGTTTAATTTATAATTTCTTTTTGTTTGTATCCATGTGATTTTGCAGTGATTGCTCATGGAATCAATGCCGCAGATGTGAAGAAACTTCAAGATGTTGGGATCTACACTTGCAATGGCTTGATGATGCACATGAAGAAGGTACATTGATTTTCAATTTCGATTTTGTGAAGTTTTTAAGTTTGGCGTTTGCATTGAGGTTAAGGTAGCCAAAACACGTTTGATGATTTTGTAGATTAACTGATACTCAATTGGAAGAAAACTTGTATATATATATATGTATTTGAAATGTTTAGTTGAATTAATACGTGCTGAAAATTTGATCATATTTTTTGCTATGTTAAATTAAATCTAAGATTTGGACTTTTGAATTGGTCATGCTAGCAAAAAACAACTACATTTATTTGTTATTTATTTTAGATTTTTGATCATTTGATCAAATTCTCCTAAAACCGAACTAATTGGTACATGTATATATTTAATTTTCACATTTTATAAATAAAAATAAAAAATTGGAAATAGATCATAAATGCCTTTTTGGTGGCCTTCATTCTCAATATTCTCTGCAATAAACTTAACTGAAATTTGTGTGTGTGTGTGTGTATGTACAGGAGGTGAAGTTAATTTTTAAGATTTGTGATATAATAATAATTTCGAGATGGCGCTTTTGGATCTCTTCATTGCCTCATCAATTCCAGTCCTAAAAGTGCTCTGGGTGACTGCACTTGGGTCAATTCTTGCATTAGATCATATCAACATTTTAGGGGAGGACACGAGGACGCATATGAATAATGTAAGTGATTATTTTTTGAATTTTAAGTGTTTGTCTTATTCGTTCGGTTTCAAATGATTTCTTTGGTGCTTTATATCACTTGTTATGTATGTCCCTACAAGGACCAACAATTTTGCATTGTGGAGCATCATTCATTGGTTGAAACTTTAAAGAAAGGCTTTTTCACTCAGATTCTGAATTGTCATACTCTAAAATATGTATCTCTGTTCTGTTTGACTAAGTTTTTTTTAAGTCTCATTGATGTTTTGCTTTTATTTTTGTTGAGCAATTAAAAATCCAAGATGAGAGCATTTTCCTGATGAACCATCGGCGCAAAAAAAAAAAAAAAAAAAAAAAAAAAAATAAAAAAAAAAAAAAGAAAAGTTATCTCCCTTGGGTTCATGCATACAAGCTTAATTGAACTGCATACCAATTTTTTTTTTTTTCAGATTTTTTGGATGTTATGATATATTCTCATTAACAAGATTCCCCGAGCACACATATGGGCTTGGCGGCAAAACATTTGTCACAGATAAAACCTTAACTAATCACCAATGATTTCTTAGATATTGTCTTGATCCAACTAATAAGTTGCTGGGAAGCCTGAATATTTATTTTTGTAAATGCCACGAAGGATAATAGGCACCCACCCAAATTTCATCTATCCATTGGCTTTAAAAGCTTTAGTAGCATCCATAGTTTAGCTCTATGATGGATATGATTTCCATCTTCCTGTGACTTCTAATTAATTTCTCATAGTTCTATATGGAAAAGTTGGTCAAATTCTACAAACTCGGGGACTTTGGTTCACTGGATTTTGTATTATTTTATTTGCTTTGTGCAGTTGGTTGCAAAGGGAGAGGAATTTGTCTATGAATAACTTTTGGTTCTAATTATTGTTCTGTTTACACTTATGCATGTTGCATGTCTATGTGTGGTTTTGGATAATCCCCTGAAAAATCTCTCTTTTAGATGTGGACTCATTAACCTTTTTGCTTTTTATCTCAACTAATCTATGGAAAGGACAATCAATGGAGATTGGGAAAGAGAATCCAGATATATTTTTTACAGATCGTGAAGGAAGGAGAAATACTGAATGCCTATCTTGGGGCATTGATAAAGAACGAGTCCTAAAAGGAAAAAGTGCTATAGAGGTATTACATTATCAATTATTTTTTGGTACTTGTCATCTCTTCTTATTCTGAACAAAATTTTTAAAATTTGTCGATGTTTTTCTTTATTTCAATTGTAACTCCATAGTCCAAGCCTCATTTGTTTCAGGGCATGATTATGTTCAGTTGCAAAATTGATTTTAATCCTTATTAAGCCTCTTCTCTTAGTGGGTAGTGTAATTGTTGTTGGGATTTACACCTTCAGTTAGTCTGTATGTGAGCCGCACAGGCCCTTTAATACTCTCTCTTTCTTTTAATTTTACATTGATGAAAAATTTTATAGTTCCTCAATAGAATCCCTCATCTTGATTCTTTAAGACCCATTTAACAATTTTAAGTACTACATTGGTGGATGGAATATTAGTCAAACTATTTCTATAAAGTCTTGCAAAACTTTGTCCCATTTCAAAATCAGTTTTCTTCTTTTTCTTTTCAAGGGTTTTTCATAATTTTTGTGCTTATAGACCCTCGTTTCATTTAAATATTAAGTTTTTTTTTTTTCCCCACTGATTTTGTGACAGTTAATTATAAGGTAAAACTCTACGTCATTTGTCTCATATTGGTTTTATGTATTAATAAGTTTTCAGTTTATTTGATTCTGTAATTTGGGTTTTGGCTGGAATTGTGACATGCTTAATTCTTTAATTTTGGTTTTGTGTATTTCAGTTTTTTGATTCTCCAATTTGGGCTGGAATTGTGATATGCTTAGAAATTTTGTATTAATTGAGTTGTTCGGGTTTCCCTCTTTTCTCTTTCTTTGATTTTGCATAGGCAAAAAAATTAGGGGTACTCAATTGAATCCATCGTCTTGATGTTTTGCATCTGTCATCTCGTATTGTCATCTTCTATATGTGAGCTTTTGCTGTGAAATTCAGTTTTGTAATCAGTGATGAATAGTGATTTTGGTTCTTCTCACTTTAATGTGGTTACTAACTAGCTATTTGATTCGTTTACTACATGTTCTTTAGCCAGACCCCGCTTTAGCTCACGCATCGTTTCTTGAGTCGCCTTTCTTTATTTTCTTTTATATAACATGAAAATTCCTTACCCTGAATTATTTCTCAGGCACTCTTTGTAATATGACTTTCCTCTTTACAAAAAAGAAAAAGAAAAAATAGAGTACTGATATATGTTGACAAATTTAGCACATTCTCTCTCTAAAAGTTGTTCTCAATGCAGTCTGTGGCTTTTACTGGTGCTCCCCTGTTTGTTATTGCTGCAATCTGGTTTGTGGGATTTGGCCTTTCTCTGCTCCTCCTCTGTCTGAATTGATAAGAACAATAGTCACTGACCATGTTATGTGGACTCCAATATATTATAATATGATAAGAGTAAATTTCTTAATAGGATATCCAATATATTATAGTGTGTTTTTTAGAACTGGCCCTCGACTAAGGCTATTGAGGCTTGTGCTTTGGAGCCCCAAAAAATTGGTCCAAAACAAGACTCCCAAATTTAGTAGTATCTTATAGTATATTACAAATTTAAATAGGTTCAATTTATTTTTGTTGCTTTAGGGCAGTCTTAAGGGCCCAAAAAATTCTCTTGGCCCCATATGAAAAAAAATAATAATTGTAATTGTGGTTTGGCCTAATTGAAATTAAAACATATACAAACAAGTGTTGTTTTGGCTTAGTTTTTAATATTTTGTAATGATTTTTTTTTCTATTTTAATATATAAAAGTAAATTGCTTTTATAGTTTCCATGGTTGAAATTAATACTGCTGCTCCATGGTTGGTGTAACCAAATTGCTTTTATAGTTTCCATGGTTGCATACCTTGCTCTTAGTTTATCATTCTCTTCTGAATTCTCATAGTAGGACTTTTGCATATGATCTAGTGATAGTTCTTGCAACACCTTTGTTTTACAGCATAGTTGTGAAGATTTTGCTCTTCCATTCTTCATATATTTTCTTGGTCCTCACAATCTTAATCATTCTAGTCAGCCAAACAGTACCATCATTATTTGCCCTCTCAACCTTACTTGGATGCGTTGTTTTGTATACTGGACAAGGGAAGTTCCATACTAGCACATCGAATACATTGGACTATGTCGTGTGGCAAGCTAACACCATTGCTGAGAGTCTTGGAAGTGTATTGGATTATCTTGAAGCAGCTATAAGCATATCAGAGTGGATCAACTTTTTTTACCTCCTGATGTTCAAAACAACATCAACAAGGTTGAAACTGACATTAATACTGCTGCTCCATGGTTGGTGTAACCAAATTGCTTTTATAGTTCCATGGTTGCATACCTTGCTCTTAGTTTATCATTCTCTTATGAATTCTCATACTAGGACTTTTGCATATGATCTAGTGATAGTTCTTGCAACACCTTTGTTTTACAGCATAGTTGTGAAGATTTTGCTCTTTCATTCTTCATATATTTTCTTGGTCCTCACAATCTTAATCATTCTAGTCAGCCAAACAGTACCATCATTATTTGCCCTCTCAACCTTACTCATTGGCTTTGAGCTATGGGCCTTTCTTCTTGGAATGTTATATGACACGTTTTCAATCATAGCCATGCTTCTTGAATTTCTGACATGATTATTGCTTGCCGAACTGACATAAACACCTCTCCTCTCCTTTCAACACCTGTCAATCACGTTCTAGCAAACATTTCACACTTGCATGTATGTCATCAAATATTTCTGCTGGAGTTTCTAAATAAATGCTTATGCTTTCTCTCATTGAAGTACTACTGAAACCCCTTGTTATTTGTGAGTTTACATCTGATTTAAAATGCACTTATCATCAAATGTTGCTTGTTTTCCCCAGGGGTCATCAATTGGACTAGTTAAGTTAATGCAGCCGGCTATCAGCAATCCGGCATCTGCTGATTCCGTGATAAGCTCTAAAACTGATCCAAATCTTTGCTTTGCAACGCATGCCCATTCCAACATCTCATTTTCTGGTCTTAGCGTGGAGAGTAGTGCTGCAGATCATCAAGACTGGTGCTTTTCCAATGGTTCTCATGGGAGAGCCGCCTCCATTGTGTCCTGAAAGTTCATTCCCTTCAACTAGTAGGAGCAGCGCTGTTATGCGTTACATAGAAAAGAAGAAGACACGCAAGTAAAAGTAGAGCGGTTTTTTTTTTTTTTTTTAACACCATTTAGGTTAAAAAAATAAAAGAATATTTTGTGGACCTAGGAAGCATGGATGTGTATTTAATTCACTTTCAATTCTTTTTGATTATTTAGTTCTTTGGTTTAATGAAAATTATATTTTGAGGTTTGTGATAGTTTCGAGGAAAGTGTAGAAGTGTTAATGCATGAATGTTGAGATTTTAGCAAATATGTCTTTAAGTTTATTGTATATAATATTTGAATATATATATCTCTATATATATATATGATTGTAGGTTTTTTTTTTTTTTTTTTTTTTGGTAAGAAGATGGTCACTAATACATTGTAGGCATTTTTTAAACTCTTTTGCGACGGCAAAATATTAGTCGCTATAAGTAGGTTAGGTGGTCGCAAATAGTTTGCGACTGTTGTTTTGCGGTCGCAAAAAGTATTTGCCACCCCCACATTCGCGACCCTCATTTGCCGTCGCATAGGCCGTCGCAAAAAGTCTTTTGCGACTGTTTTTTTATTATTTGCGACGGCTTGTAGCGGTCGCAAAAAGTAAGCCCCAAAAAATATATAATTAACTATAACAATTTTGTTTTTTTATTTTTACTAAACAAAATTTTAATTTTTTTTAGAAACATTTTTCATAAATATATTCTTTTAAAACTAAATTCTTGTCATTCTTGGATTTGGTTGAGGTTTCAAAATTTGTTTTCAAATTTTTGTTCAGAAAACAAAAAATTACTTTCCCCCAAAGAATATTAGAAGAATATTTTTTAAATTCCAAATATTAATTTTGCCCCACCAAAAAGATAAAATTATATGAAAAATAATGAGTTTCCTTATTTTTTATGTTCTTTAATTTTATTTATTTTTTTGGTTTACCAAACTTGTATTTATTTTATTTGACAAAAATACAATTTGTGAAAATTTAACCAAACATGGTGCAATGTTGGAAAATAATTGCAGAAGCACAATTTTTTTTTTATTTACAATTTTGCCCCTTAATCTTAACCTTTCCTTTTCTTTCTCATTCTCATTGTCTCTCCTTATTTCCCGTCTCTACCAATCACTCCATTGACAGCACCACTACTACCTTTAATAAATCATTCCACTAATACTCCAACCCTCCTCCAACCTCCCTCACTATCCATCACCCTTATTCTTACTCTCTACCGTTGCCACTTCCTATCATTTCTTGCTACTCAATGCCATTCTTTCACTATGTTGCTACCCCAACCTCTCACTACACGTTTCTCGCCACTTTTCACTCTCTATCCCTCCCTCACCACCCCCGTTACCCCTAGCCCTTTAAGTTTTCTTATCACACTCTACATTGCAACCTCCACCCTCAAAACTCTATCCACTCCAACCACCCCAAACCCCTCTCATGATCTCATATGTTTGAATTTTGTCCAGTACAAATGAAACTCATGGTAGATGCAAGTTACTATGATTCCATTCCCTATGCTCTGTAATCATGACTCTAATTTTTTTCCTCTCGTGTCACTAGCCTTACCCACTCCTTACCTTTGTAGCCCCATTATAACCCCCAACTCTAGTGCTACCAATCCAATCCCCTCCCAATTTTCGAAGAAAGAGAAATAGAAGTGGGTAATGGCTATCATTTGGGATGGAAAAATGGAGAAAATTGGTACATTTGTTTTCCATTACCGTATGGTTTATTTTGATAGAAAATATTTTTTTACATAATCTTTTTTAAGAAAATGTTTTTCATAAAAAATGTTTTCTTATATTTGATTGCGTTATTGAAACTAATACACTAATAGTTGCATTAGTAGTGGTAATAGTGACAGTAGCAGCATGGAAGAGGAGGTAAAGGTGTTGGGGTGGTTGAGGCTATGTCGATGGTAGATGTAGAGGTGGTGGTGGTGGGGTGGCAATGGCGATGGCAGTGATGGTGGTGGTGGTGTCAATGTGGTGAGATTGGTAAAAATTTAATTTGGAAAATATTTTTTGCCTTTTAAAATGTTTTCTATTGACTATAAAAAATGTTTTTCATTAATTTTTTTTTTTCATTGTACCAAACACTAAAAAATACATAAAATATTTTTCAGAAAATGTTTTTCTCCTGAACAAATTGAGCTTAACACAAAAATATATAATTTTATCATAAAATTTCATAACATCAACTACAATATGTATAATCTTACCACAAATTGACGTAATAAAATATCTAGATTTTTTTGACTGATGTTATAAAAATTTTATGACTTGATTATGATATATTTTGTTACAACTATTTGTAGCGAGCGTAACTGTTGGCTTTTTTGACTTTCGAAGGTTAATTATGTAATTTTAAGCATGCCAGTAAGGATCAATAAGTCTTTACAGAATTTAAATTGCCAACCAATTATTAGACGATTGTGTTGAAGTTCTTTCAGCCTC